TTTTAAATCAGGGTCTCACTCTATTGTCCACCCAGGCTGAAGTGTAGTGGTGGTGGTGATCTCGGTTCACTGCAACCTCCACCTCCTGGGATTAAGTGATTCTCCTGCCTTAGCATCCCAAGTAGCTTAGACCACAGGCGCATGCCACCACACCCAGCTAATTTTTGTATTTTGTGGTAGAGATGGAGTTTTACCATGTTTGCCAGGCTGATCTCAAACTCCCGACCTCAAGTGATCTGCCTGCCTCAGGCTCCCAAAGTCCTGGGATTATAGGCATGAACTACTGCCATCTGGTCTGAATGTTACTATTACATTCATATTCTCACCAATAAAATTATTATATAGCTAGTATTCAAGTAATATGTCTTTTCTAAAACAAACATTGAGAAAATTACAAGGTTTGAGAACTGATAAATAATATTTAACAATGATTGTTAATTAAATGCCAATTCAGTAAAACTTACATGTGGGCCCTAAATGTGTAGATAGGCTCTACATCTAAAGAGGCACTCCTAAAAGAGGGGGAAAAAAGGTGGGGAAAGAGAAAGCAATTAAATAACTATAAATCACTGGTTGATATTAAATAGTCATTAGATCAAATGTGTGCATTAAAGATAAGCAACAATAAGAGGAATAATTACTTATATTACCAAATTGGAAGAAATACACCAGGCTAACATTAAAACACTTGCTTTTTGGCAGGAACTGTTTTTTGCAGGTTCCAAAGTTTCAGGGTATGGTCCTCAGAAGCAGTAACCAGCACAGGTTCTACAGGATGAAAAGCTAATGCCCGTACTCCATCAAAATGGCTACGTAGTGTATACTTGGGATTCCATGTCTTTCGAAAGGCATCTTTATTGGCAGGCAACTAAAAGGAAAGAGCACAATATTTAGTGGTAAAAGTAGTAAACTGGCAGGCATGTGGAGTGTTTGTTCTTTTTGGTGTGTTTAACACGTATATTTAAAACTGGCTAAAATATCCAGTGGAAATTTAATGTACCTTTAAAACTTTCTAACAAATCTTTATCATTTAATAACAACTCAGAATACTAATTTCATTAGCCTTACAAATAGTCTAGATCAAATGAAGAGTTCTTTAATCTGTTTTTACCTACCAAACTAACCCAAAGCTCCTATTAAATGTCAGATTGGAATAAAATAATTATCATTGCTGTAATAGTTTACATGAAAAATAATTACATAAGTTATGACAAATATCCAACGGTACAGTATTAACAGTAGTCATTAAGAAAATGTATTAGCATGTGAAATTTTTAAAGGCAGCAAGTTAAGCTATTTTCTGAAAGTCTGAACTAAAGACCCTTTAAGAACATTTTGTATCCCATTTTCATAATTCTTGATATTGACAGAGGTTAATCTTTTAACCTTCACATTTCTCCATCTGTAAAGATAGGCTGTGAAATCACTTCTAAAGCAGTCAAAAGTTTACTGGAATTTAGTTGCTTATATGCTTTAAAAAAATATGAGAATAATCCAGCCCACCAAAGGCTGTCTCTAAAAAGCATGCTAACGTAAGTATAAAATGTAGAAAAAGAAATTCATTATAAAAAGAAAAAAATTGCTGAAAAACTGCAATTAACATAAAGATCTAACAAGTATAGTTAACTCTCAATTGAAATATTAAATGTCTAGAAAAAATTAAATCCAAGACAAGTTTCACCTCTAACGCTGGACTCCCCATCCTTTCCATCCTCTCCCTATCCCTCTAATGAAGGAGTTAAGTATTCAGGAAATGATGCAAGCTAACTTTAAAACGTTCAGAAACTTTAAAATATTTCCTTAAGAAAATAAAAGTTCAAAAATAAAACATGCTTTTTAGGAAGTATTCTGAAGGCAAATATATGATCAGGCTTTTTTCTTTTTTCTTAACACCAAAATATAGCTTAATTTGAAATAATTGAGAGTTGACTACTCAAGATATATTTATTGACCAATATATTAAAGTAATCATTCCAAACCTCTAGCTAATTCACCAAAATACCTAAGAAAAATTTAAATGCCACAAAGAAAGTAGTTATAGAAGAAAAATTACATGTCACTTCAAATCAACACATTGACACAAACTTATCTTTTCCATGCACCTTGATATTAATTCTGTTTATAAGTGATTCCAAAAAATAAGGAGCCTTCTATTAAATCATTAAAAAATTAAAAATAAAACTGCACTTACATCATAACTATAGTCTGCATCATTTGTTACCGTCAAGTCTGCAAGGTCTCCAAGGCCCAGTACACTTAACAAAACATCATCAGAACCCATAATAAATGACTTGCCTCCTCCAGATGGAAACGTTATTGGTTCAGCTATAAAGAACAAAACCGCTTCTTAAATGCTGAAAAATCATACAGTACAAGACAATATTGTGGGGAAAATTTAAGCACTTAACAGTTACAATATTCAGTAATATAATTAATTTTTATTTTCCCACTTCCACTCAAAAAATCCTGTTACTAAGCAGTGCTAAATAAATGTGATGGAACTGCGGTGTATTAACTGTCCACAAAAAAAATGTGCACTAGATATATTATTCTGGGGTGGAACGTGGGGAACAAAAGCAATGTCTGTCTAAATCTCTTATTGCTTCAATACAATTATAGTTTACATGTTAAATAAGAAACAGGACAAATTTTGATTAAATAATGGAGTTAAATATCAGATTTTTGCCATTCATGGGGGAAACCTCTACCATGACCCTCAAGGACCTCAAAGTAGTTAATACAGTATTTTTTAAATGATAATAGGTTATTACTCAGTCCTTTTGCTTTCTAAAGAAGTACTAGGCATTCTAGTCCCTGATAAAAACTAATACAAACATTGAAATGTAAATAGTTTACAGTCTGCTATACAGTATATCAGTTCACTAGAATGAAGCTTTAATTGTTCAGATTCCTTCAGTAACAACAACGGTCTAGGAACAAGTTCTTCTGCCAACAATGTCAGTTTCTTTCTATAAAAGGTTAATCCATATGGTCTTCAGAATGTCTTCTAGCTTTTGTTTGTTTGCTTGCTTGTCTGTCTGAGACAGTGTCTTGCTCTGTTGCTCAGGCTGGAGTGCAGTGGCATGATCTTGGCTCACTGCAACCTCCAACTCCTGGGTTCAAGGAATTCTTTCTCAGCCTCCCAAGTAGCTAAGATTACAGGTGTCTACCACCACGCCCGGCTAATTTTTCTATTTTTAGTAGAGAAGGGGTTTCACCATGTTGGCCAGGCTGGTCTTAAACTCCTAACCTAAAGAGATCCGCCCACCTTGGCCTCCCAAAGTGCTGGGATTACAGGTGTGAGCCACTGTGCCCAGCCTCTCTTCCAGCTTTAAAGCTTTGGCTACAATTTTTGTTTTAATGTACCATTCTAGTTATCATGACATTCTAAACTGAAGCAACTAATCTTGACCAAAGAGCTTTAACTTCTGATTAGATTTGCCGTTTCAAACAGGTGGAGCTTCTTAGTTTTCTTGACTATATCATGTGTATTATTACAGCCTTTCATGTTAATATTAGCAGTTCCAATTATTTAAAATGTGTTTTCCTTTCTATACATGCTATTGACCAATTAAACTCTGCCATAACTGTATGGCTATTATCTAAATATTTTGTTGTAACAGTCATAGTTTAAGCACCAGTCTTCAACATCATTTCAAACATGCTTTGAAAGCAAAATTTTCACATTAAGATAACAAGGGAGAAATACTCAAATTATAAAACTCAACATATCAAAACACATTTAAAATTCATGAGCAAATTTAAAAGGGAAACATTATGCAAAAAATCAAGCTGATTATCAATTTTTTAAAAATTCCCATGAAAAATGATGATATAAATATGCTACAGGAAACATAAGAGGTGTAATGAAATTTGACAGTATCACGAATAGTACTGAAAATAATCCTGAGAAGACACAATTCACATATATACTAAGGCAAGATAAAATTCATCTTTATTTAGAATATCTTGTTATTTTATCCTATCAAAGTAAGCTATATAATCTGACTCAAATAGGGTTCTAAAATGAAGTTCTGATTCAGTACTTGATCTAGAATGAATCTGAAAGCACCTGACACAAAATATATAGAGATATTAAGAAGTATTTAATCTTTCAATGATGACACTTATTGAATCTGAATAATCTGTAGCATTGATCTTTTCCTACAAATTATTAGTACGCCATTATTGGCAATAGCAGAAGCAGCTAAAAACTATAAAATCACTAATTTAAACTTATGTTTAAGGACAATTATGTAAAAGTCATTAGAAAATATTTACTCAAGCATTTCTCTCTAGGACAAAAATATTTTTACTTTAAACTCATAATTTGTTTCTAAGGAAACTTGGAACAAAATGCAACAATTCCTCCCACTTGCAATTATACAAACATTCAATGACACAAATCTCAAAAGCCCAATAAAATAACTTTAACATAACAAATTATTTTGCAGGACTATCTCTGATCAGCCACTGACCAATTCAGAAACATGTGAAGGGAAGTGTCTGGACAACATTAGTTTTACTAGAGTTATGGATTAATTGTACTTGACAAAAAATTAGTATTATACTCATTTGTAATTAATCATTTTACTACATTTCTGTCATTTTTCTCTATACACACACATATATTTTATGACATATACTTAAGTAGATATAGCGAGCTATTCTGCTTATTCAGCATTTATTTACACATATATGTGCAAAAAATCTTTTATACTATTACCTCTGCTTTCCATATTATCCATTAGTGTGGCATATGGTAATCACAGAAGATACTCATTTGTTTGCCCTTATTTCCCTGCAAGGAAATTAATTTCTATCCTAAAAATTCATTTCGTTAATGGTAATATAATTACCCACAGCACAAAAATATCATTAGTAGTTAAAAGAAAAATATAATTATTAAAAGAAGTAGTTTTAATTTCTTTTTTTTTCTAATAGAGACAGGGTTTTGCTATGCTGCCCAGGCTGGTCTTGAACTCCGGGGCTCAAGTGATCCTCCTGCCTTGGGCTCCCGAAGTGCTACAACTGCAGACATAAGCTAGTATGCCTTGTTTAGTTTTTAATTTAATGATGGAAATTTTAACACATTTTATTAGGAGGCCTAAGAGATTTCGTCAAGTAATCGAACAATACTAGCATAATGGGGCTATGAAATACAAGGTTTTTTTCAGACTTCTGTAACTAATCTTTCTTTTGATGGACACTTATGACCAAGGAAACCTGTAGCTCTCATACTGAACTCTTTCTCCTCCAATTTTATTAAACCTAAAGAACTTAGCCCAGGTAACAGATTCCACTTATAACAGTGGCAACATGGTATGTCTCAAGTCTTTAGTAGCAGTAGTCTAGAAGATTGTAATGTAGAAGTACTACTCCTAGAAAACAGACAGTTGTTCTTTATAAAATGAGGTATGACATGGACTTCAAAAGCAAAGAAGGGAGTTGGGGGCTGCCATGGAAAATAAGAAAATTGTGTACTCCAGTGCTGCCTTCTTAGCTTGAAGCCAAACTCACATCTCTTTAAGTAACAAATTCCAGTAAGATCAATCCTTTAAAAACTGTAATCAAGTTCACACTTAAATTTCTCCCCTCACCCTCTTCCCAGCATCAAGAAACAGATCACTGACCTATATTCATTCTTTAAAACACACACATTAACACATAAACACACACACATAGAGAGCTCTAAGTTGGTTTTTGTGCAGTGTGTGCCTTGACTGGCTTTTTTTCGTATGTCATTGGTTTGAAACATTTAAAAGGGCCCACACTGCTAACATGGCTTTGACTTAAACTGCAAAACTTGCAGTTTAAATGTACATTAATTACAAAAATTTTAACAACTTGTACTATGCATATTTGGCAAAGCAGACCAAAAATGAAAGAAGCAAAATCACCACTAAATGCATAAAATAAAAAATAATGGAGTTGCTATGTGTATTTTAGAAAATACTTCTAAAGTAAAACAGCAATATATCTCAATAGTGGAAATGAGATGTGAATAAATTAACAGACACTTTCATTTTTCATTCATT